GGATACTAACGCTCATGAGATGTCCTGATCACTGGCTTGGACCTTAATTAGCTCTATGGAATTACTAAACCTTCCATTTTAATATGAAGTCTACAAAAACAATTTTAAATTTCTAAAAATTATAAACTGTAAATTTTACAAATCAATAACTAAAATTTGAAGAGTGGCTAAACAAAATTATGGATATAAGTGGGAAAGGGAAAATATCATTTTTAGGATCAATAATTTTTAATATTTCCTTTTTTTTTTTTTCCTAAGAGTTGAGTGATCCCAAACTTTTTTGAGTCCTATATTTTTACTGGTATACATTCCATTTTTGCAATTAGCCCACACTCTAGAATGGTAGATTGGCAAAAATCAATTTTATTTTTCATTTACAGTTGACATTCAATACAATTTTGTTTTGAGACACTTTTCTTATAATGCCCTGACATGCTGCAAAATCAGAACACAGATCATAAAAACTTAAAGAAAATACTCAAAAAAAATTGTCACATAAATGGAATATCTTCATTTATCTCTTTGATTTTAATGGAAACCGCAAAAACATTGCTTCTATAGAAAAATAGTAAAATTCTCTGTAAAAAATATATACTATCAACTTTGTATGTATACTGATTCTGCTAAGGGAGTCCTAAATAATTGGTTCCCCGTAAATAACCTTAAAAAAAAGTAGGTAAACTATTGGGGATTTTTTTAATTCCTCTTTTTCCAAATTGAAAACCATTCTATCAATAGTAACAATAAAATTCTATTTGGAAATAAAATCAGGTTAAATAGTTATTTCCCTCTCTAAAAGGCCTTTGAGGTAAGTGGAACAAAGACTAGCAAAGTAAATAGGAAACATCAGAAATTTGCTTGTTGTCATATACTTAATGATTCAATAAAAAAAAAATAATAGAACAAAATAACAATTTTGAAATTTCTCAAAATTAGATAGTGGTAATGGCTGTACAACTTTGGAATATACTAAAACCACTAAATTATACATTTCTAAAGGGTAAATAATTATGGTATGAGAATTATATCTCAATCTAAAAAATTAATTTTCAAGGTCAATTTTTATATCTTAAATATCAGTGTGGTTTTAAAAGTTTTCTATAAATATGATACTTATTTGAAGCTAATGTCTAACTTATATATTCCAATAATTCATGAAGAATGTTACATGGTTCATAATACCTTAAAAATAGTTAAAGAAAGCAAAGATTTTTTTACCTAAGGTCTTTAACTATAAAATTCTATTTCTATAAGACTATATAGTATACCAGAGGTTAAACTGTATACAAAGAAATAACCAAAATTACATGAGTAAATGAACTTTCCACAGCAATACATATTTTCACTAAAAATTTCAATTAGAATATCAATGTGAAAATGTGATTACTGTTACTGTAAGTTAAAAGAGCACTGATAATATTTTTCAATCCTACCTGGTTCTGTCATCTGAGATTTCTGTATTAGAACATCTCTTATTTTCTCCACCCAGAGATAAAGGATACTTTCACCAATATTCTCTCTAAACAAAATTCAGGGGGAAAATATTTGTTATTTAAGTAAGTTTCCCTCTCAAATTCAAGAAAATACAGACATATTTACAACCTGAGACATTATATACAATCTAGCCATGTCTTTTAAAAAAGAATTTATAAAAACATGAGATTTACTAACATTTGTGGATGCATATTTAATATAGTTTGTATATAAACATTAAAAATTCCAACTGGCTCCAAAATTAACATTGCTTACTTAAAATAAGTGGAAAAGTTGCAGCAAAAGAGGGAAAGAAAATTTCTGAACTTGAACTAGATGAATTAAATAGATATAAATGTGATTCAGTTTTTCAGTGGATATAGTTTCACTACTGATGTCCTATCTTTGCTTGGGTTCCAAACTTTTTGAACAATTTCAAACCACTTATTTGATACAGTTATCATTTGGTATGTTTATTTCAACAAAGAAGAATTCAAAGCATTTGAGGAACTCCCTCAGAGAACCAATTTACAAGACTTCAAAGACAATCAATGCAACAACTTTATATTCATATTTTGTTTTTGACAAAATATTCTATTGCCCAAATTGATTAATTTGGGTTCCAAATAATGTCTGGTTAAATCCATCTCAAAGTAACTGAGAAAAAGAACATACCATGATTCAAGTCCACAGAATTATGTTAAATAACGGCAATAGCAATAAAATAAAGGCCTAAGTGTTTCCTCTTTAGGGAATGACACTAATTTTAGATAAGTTTTGGTATGTGTATTTAAAGAAATCACCACACTACTTCATAACAACACCTTACCTCCCTCTCAAAGTTTCCCTTGAAACCACTATCTTTCTCTATCACCACTCATCAACACCCAGCAAAGGAAACTTTCAAAACATGCACACAGAAGAAAACAACACTTTTCAAATAATTCGGTACCCTCAAATCCTCCCCATCTATCTCACCCATAACTCCTTAGCACTAAAACAACCCTCTGTGTTTTTCGGTAACCCGTCTTTTTAGAGGGATCAAGAGTCAATTAGAAAGGTTTATAAAAATTAAGACTACTGGTTGACTTTCTTTTAAACAATTCCCACTCCCAACCTCTCCTCAATAAGACTTAGAGAGAGGTACAGAGGCAGAAAAAGGTAAAAGGTATTGAGTATACACTAAGTCCAAAATACATTACGTGCATCAACACATTTAATACTCATAACTGTCAAGTAAATAGGTATTATTTCCCCATTGTACAAATGAGAAAACAGACCTATAGAGCAGTTATTTGTGTACAAGTCTTAAGAGTGTTAAGAAGCCCATAGCCAGACTGAATAGACTTACTCCAAAGCTCAGGTCTGACCACTGCAGTTAGTTCTCCTATCAAGCAGTTGTGCCCTTAGGCAAGTAAGCCACTTGAGGTCTGGGTTTCAGCTTCCTCATCTATATATAAAACAGAGATTTAGAGCATCCTGTCTTACCTTACAAAAGTAGTTTCTTTTGAAGTGAACCTATATCTTCATTCACTCAACAAATCTTTAAGGGCCTATAAACCGAGCACTACATGCAGCCCTGGGGTTATGTGAGTGAATTCGAAAACTGGGTCCCTTATCTCAGTGTTTATAATCATTGTCTTGACAAATTGATGGTTTTGCAGGCAATTCCCTCCATCTCCTATCTCATTCTATTGAATTCTTCATGTGATCATTACCAAAATTAGTAATACTAATATCTAGTGTTTACTGAACACCTATCATATAGAAGACAGGTAGAAAACGCTTTGTTAACTCAATCCTTACAACCACCCTTTGAAACAGGAAAATCATCCATCTGCGAATACATGTTCATATTCAGATTTTGCTGCTGGTGGTGGTGGGGAAACACCTTGGAAAAAATTTATCAATTAATATTTTCAAATAATAAAGAAGAAATTAAACCTTAACTCCAAATCTCCTCTCTGACCCATGAATTCCTGAAGAAGAATATACAACAGCACTTCTGCTCAGCATCATTTACTAATTGCTTCTTTCTTCCCTAACATTTAATTGGACAGTAAAATCCAGTGCAGGAAGTTGTAGTGGGTGTGAAAGGTTTTCTGAACAAAATGAAAATGATTCTTTCCTTTGGACCCCAAAATTCTATCACTGATGGTGGGAATTTTAAAAACTTTTCTTACTGCTGTATTTGTGTATTCTCTTGTGGAAATAGTTTGTTCTTATATTTTAACTATCCTAAGATTTGGTGGTTTTCAAGCTTTTGTCAGTGCTGTAATGAAACCTCTTGCAGAATCAGAAATTAAAACAGACAAAAGCTGGGAGTCCTCTTTGTTGGACCTCTCCTCCTTTCCCCCAACAATTCTGGAGGAAGTCAACTAATTTCTAAGGACTCTGGTGCAAAATCTGAGGACTATTCATTATAAAGAGAGATGCCAAGCTTTTATTTTGTGAAAGTAAATTATGATAAAGTAGCTAAATATAAAAAGTCTGGAACAAAATGTGTTCCAAATTGAATAAAAAACCAAGCTGGATTAAAAACTGATATTTTAGTTGAGATATTTTGTGAATAACTAAAATATTGTAACTACAGTTCAATTCAGAATTATCAAAACAAAGTCAAGTTACTTGTGACTCTACTTTTACTTGTGGCTCTAATTTTTTCTACCTTTAATTTTTCAATACAGTAAGTCCCCAACTTACAAACATTCGAGTTGCGAACTTTCACAGATACAAACCGACCTCGCATTATGAACATTCATAGATGTGAACTAATCGCCAAAGTAGCTCACGTGTCTGTTCTTGTCAGTTCACTCCATGCAATCCCCTATATGCCAGTTGTTGTACTGTACTGTACCACCATTTTAAGGTAATTGTAAAAGTAAAAAGTTTTACAGTATTTTTGTGTTTAGTTTTTTTATGCTTTACATTGTATATTTGTGTCAAAGGTGTATAAGATGCACTTTGTCGGACTTAACGAACAAATCCAACTTACGAACGTTCTCCCGGAAACGAACTCGTTCATAAGTTGGGGACTTACTGTATTTATATTTATTGATTTAAGGGTAAAGCTACTCACTAAGTTGTACAACCTTAGACAAATCACTCCATCTCTCTGATTTCTGTTATCTCATTTTCAAAATGACAAAACTAGATGAGACGAATCTTAGAAAATAACAGCTGTTATTATATAGTGCTTAAGTACATTACATGAATTCTGTCATTTAATCCTCACAATGATATTACTCTATTATCCTCATTTTACATATAAGAAAACGGACTCAAAGAGGTCACACTATTTCAAAAACTGACTCCAGTGCCCGAAGACAAAAACCTCAGCTTGACTAAGCTTCAGACAGGCAGAACTTCCGACTGTAGGCCCTAACTTCCCTTTTCTTAGAGCATTTGATTTAGAAAACTTGTCATTATATTGGGTTGTTGGAAAAGTCATGACATATTTTGTCTATGATTTTCAAAGGCCATTTATTTATATAAAGAACAAAGATCAATCANGGGGGTCGTCTTATACGCCCAGTCGTCTTATACGCCGGCAAATACGGTACATGAGTTCATCCTGATATAAAATAACCAAATAAACAAGTGGAGAAAAGAGACATCTCTTACTCACAATAGAATTCCAATTAAATTAAATGCAGAGGGAAAGAAGGAAATATGAGTCACCATTAGGCAAACACCTAAACATTGTAAACAAGATATACTAATGGATACTAAAATTAGTGAGTGAACCTTTAAGGAGGAATAGGATATATTTTTTCTCTCTCTCTCTCTCTCTCTCTCTTTCCCCCCCCCCCGCCCCCCATACACATTCTATTCCTATTGGTTCTGTTTCTCTGGAGAACCTTGACTAAAACGTGACTCTGCAGTGGAGACATCTGGCAGATACCACCTCAACCAAGTGATCAAACTAAGCATCACCAATAATAAAGCATACTGATATGATGAGCTACTTGATATAATGCACTGTGAAAGACACAATATTCTTGCCAAAATGCCTAATCTTACTCCAATCATGAGAAAACAACAAACCCAAATTGAGGAACATTCTACAAAACAGTTGATCAGCTCTCTTCAAAAGTGTCCAGGTCAAGGGCCAGCCGAGTGGCTCAGTTGGTTAAGAGCTCGCTCAAATTTGAGCAACAGTGATTCGATTCCCAGCCTGAGCTGAGCAGCCGCTGAGCTGCCAACAGGTGGCAGGATGGCTCAGCTTTAAAAAAAAAAAAAAAAGTGTCCAGGCATAAAATGTCACAAAAGTCAAAGAAAGACTGAAGAACTGTTTATAGACTAGAAGAGAGTAAGGAGAAATAACAACTAAATGCAACATAGAATCCTGGACAGCATCCTATGACAGCAAAAAGGACATTAGTGGAAAAATCAGTGAAATTTGAATCAACTCTTTAGTTTACTTAAAGTTGTATCAATGCTAATTTCATATTATTGATAATTATAATATGGTTATGTAAGATGTTACTAGGTGAAGCAGATAAGAGATATGAGAGCTCTTTATACTATTTTTGCAACTTTTTTGTAGTCTAAAATTAGTTTAGAATTTTTAAAAGTTGTATTTA